GGAAAAATTATTTTGTTTGAATTTGTGGGAGTAATTCATATAGGGCAAAAATCACGTGCTCACAACGAGGAACGGGTAGACATATAAAGCACAGTACCCAGGACGACGAACCTGAACCACGTCCCCTTCAGCCGGGATCAATTCGACGTGGTTAGGAAGACCAAAATTGGCTTTGTATTCAGCCAACTCTTTGGATGCCATTATAGATAGAAAATTCCCGGGCGCCGCTTCCGGTGATCGAGTGAGATCAGACCTGGCATCGGGGTTTGTGGTGGAGTATCTCCTTTACCGACGGGAAAGCTTCATCCTCAGCAATGACGGAAACACTCTCCTCACAAGTAGGAAACACAACCTCCATGGGAGCAACGCGACTCCCTTCACCAGCATCTGAGGATATGTTTGACATACTTTGATATAATAAAGAAGAATGCAAGAAAGAGAGATTGGGATACGGTGTAAGGAAATGGAATAGGGAAAGAAGTTTTAGAGAACAATGCTGATATCTCAAAACTTTAAGAGAGCAAAATTTCAAATCCAGGTTTAACAACCCTTATTTATAGAAATTAAGGCACCAAAATCCGAAACGTTTTGTCTTACTGGGCATCAAACCCGAAAAAGCTTATCATAATTGCCACCGGAATCGAAATGGCAGATCCAATCAAAGGCCACGCACAAATCAAAGAAATCGTCAGAAACATGCATCATCATGACGTCGTGACATCACCCCTTCTCATGGACCAGATGGATCCAACAAATCACCCGGAAAATTTAAGGTATTTGAAATACGTCGCTCACAGAGAGCCAGGTTGCCTGCTAGCCATGACTACTATGACCCGTATAGTCTGCTCGATAAGATTGATAACGAATGACATTATCAACTCATCGAACTCGCTTGCAAGGACGACCTCAACAAGCAGGAGGGGGGGGGGGAGACTAACTGCATGGGCCAAAAATTACCTTTGATATGATTAAACCGTATTAGTATTAAGAAGACCCTCATGGGTTGCCACGTATCACTAGTACGACTTCGATAAAGGCCCGCCGAAGGTCGAAGTGGCCTCTTAAAAGGTGAAGCGAAAATCCGACGAAGTTATTGAAGATCAAGGTCGGGGAGTCAGTTAAGATGAGGGTCGAGGTCGAGCACTCATCGTAGACAGTGTTAAAAGAGAATATTCTAGTGGATATTCTCTATACATGTACTATTAGAGTTTTTTTAGGTTATGTTTCCTATAAATAGAAAGAGATATAATAATAGGGGGAGAAGATATTCACTTGTAAGAAAATACATTGACTTTCTCTATAGAATCTGGCTTTATTTCAAACATACAACATATACCTTTTCCTAATATTCTTGCCTAAATTTTCCTCTCGATCCAAGAACAATCTGAACATTCGAAGGCTCATCAATCATTCTTCATTGTCAGAAGGAATATCCGCAGATCTCACCCCTTTTCGCCTGACTCACACGTTCTTATTTACTTAAATGCCATTCATTGCTATTTATTATTATTTAATGCTATCTCCTTATTTTTGGGTCATTGAATATTGTTAGTGTTGTCAACATTTATTGTCATTCGGATAATATACTTCCTCCGTTCACTTTTATTTGTCCACTATGAACTTTTCACGTTCCTTAAGAAATAATAATTGCAGTATGTATTTTACTATATAATCCTTAATAATGTTAGCATTTTAAAAAGTCTTGGGAAATGAATTTGAAAATGAGTAATTAATGATAAGAATAAAACAGGAAAAAAAAGATTTTGTCTTCCTCTGAATTTAGTATAGTGGACAAGTAAAAGTGAAAATGTATTTTTAGTATAATGGACAAGTAAAAGTGAACGGAGGGAGTACATATTATCTTATTACAAAATCAGTTAATGTATCTTTTGGACATTAATATTGGCTAAGATTGACTATTTTATTAAATCTAATTGATTAAGCCCAGATCTAAATTTTGGGTCAAACATTAAATTATTATTGTGATTAAGTAGAATGTTATTAAGAGCACATCTGTAATGTCAAAAGAGAATTAAATTGTAGCGTAATTTCATAATTTAGTTTGTGGTTACTTGACTAACCTTGAATTTAGTGTAATTATTTGCTATCGGAGAATACTGTCATACCTGATATTTACTGTTAGTTATCATTCAAATAAAACAATTCTTAAAATGTTACTTAGATTATATTCAAATGCATTTGAATTTAGCATAAATATTCAATTAATTAATTACATTCTACTCAATTTAGCTGGAATCATTATATGAGGATACTTTAATCCACGCACTTCCAACCAAATCAAAGCTAGCTTGTCATTTGAGAATAATAACAACAATAAATAATTTCTCTAATAATTTTAGAAACCGAAGCCTTAGCTGTACTGCTGCCATCTAAGCACTTCCTATATGGTACAATGTTTAATATCCCAGCCCCAAAAAGCAAAATCAAGAAATAACTCCCATTCTATATGATACAGTTTAATTGGATACAAATTAAAATA